GCCCCGGCAGCAGGAGTGGCTCCGTTATATTGCCACCCGCCGCTGCTCCCATAGCCGTCGTCTTCGGCAGCTTCGTTGTCCTGGAGCGTAATGAGGTTGACATTGCCGTCGAGTGTCGACGAGGACGTGTCGCGCCGGTGGTGGCCTTGGTAGGAGGTCCGGCCGTTGCCAGTGGCAGCAGCGCCTCTGCTGCCAATGTACAGGGAGGATGGGTTTGTACTGCTCGTGGACGGTCGCTGTGTCGCCGAGGATATTGACGACGCCGTGCCCTGGCTGCGGGAGGACGTATCGAGTCGCCGAAAGAAGGGAGCGCTGAAGAAGGAGATTTCCGCGTTCGTACGGCCAGTGGAAGCGGCCGCTGTTGCAGGCCGTCCGACGTCCAAGCTCGTGTTGTTGCCTTGGGATCCATCACGGCTGTGTGTCCAGTACGGTGGTGGCGGTGCGGGAGGTGACGCTAGAGGAGAGAGTGGTGTTGGCTGGACAAATGGCTCCGGTTCCGCCTCCTGTACCGGTTCGGAAGCCTGCTCAGATGTCTGCTCGGAGGTTTGTAAAGGAGGAGAGAGAGGGACCGCTATGGTTTCGTGTGTTGGCTCGGCGGCTATCGCAGCGATCGGCTCTGCTGTACTTTCTGAATGTGTGGCGCCTTCGTCTGCCGTCGATAACGGCGTCGAATCGCCCTGTGCAGAGATATGCAGTGGGTCGTGGTCATGACTCTCCACGTCCTCGTGGCCTCCCGTCTCGTCGGGCTCGCGATATGGAGGAAAGGGCGCCGGCGGGTCGTCGTCTTCGTCAGCATCTGGTTGGGGGCCGTCTATTATGCGCGGCACCGTTCTGTGGCCATTGGGGAGTGCGCTGTTACCTGCTGTCCCTTTTTTTGGCTCTGCCGTCGAGTCTTGTGAGTTTTGTATCGCTCCGTCATCAAGCGGCTGCCCTGGCGCCCGTTGCGCTGTGTTGGCCGACGGTGTCGACGAAGCCATTTGCGCTCAAGCCATGGACCGTCGGCGCTGTCGATCGCGATGGGCAGTGTTGAATGTGTGCAGAGTAAAGAGTTCGAGGCGAAAACAGAGCGAGAAAAAGAACGCTGTGAATATGATCGACTGGGGAGATGGGTGGAGAAGCAAGAGCAAAAGGCCGGGAGGGGGTTAACCAGTGGTGACTTCCGCCATTCGGCCGGTGCTTGTTGGAGGCGAGCAAGAGCGAATGGGGTGATGGCCAAGTTGGGAAAGACTGTTGGCTGTTGCTAGGACAGGCAGGAACCGGCCGCTCTTTTGGCGCGCGACAAGCCCTGTATTGATTGCACCAGGCTACTTAGTTTCTGTTACCTTCCCTTTTACTCCAGGGATTTGGACCGATTTGTTGGGGAAGGCACGCGCTAGCGCGTTGGAATCCCGCACATGCGGCGGATGGGGAACAGACGGCTTAGTCTGGTCCGGCAGTCGCGATGGAGTGTTACCCATGACGTATGACAGGCAAGTGCAGCGGTCACGATGTGAGATTTATATAACTTCGTTTGTCAGTTATACAACGCGAAAAAGCCCACCGACTCCCCTGTAAATCAAGACCCGTCCTTGGGGCCAAGCACAGGCGCTGCAAAGCCTGGCACAGGCGTTAAGCATGTCTGCAGAGGTGTGCACTGTCTGCGCTGCCGTTACTGCCTGTGCTGTCTCCTTTGCCTGCGCTACAAAAGGGTCTTCGTCAAGTCCGCTCCGCTGCTCGCGACTGCTTTTGCGATCAAGTTGATACAGGGGTGGTTTCTGACTGCAGGCTGGACGAAAACAGCGAAAGTGCAATATTATTAGTAACCCATCCCAGCATAAGTTTCACAATAAACTGCATTATGAGCAGATGATGGCCCATTCTTGCCTTGTCGCCGTGAATATAAATTATTAGAAATGCGCTTCCAGCGTTTGTTTTTCTACTACATGAAAGATGATGGGAAAAGCGTGTGACAATACAGGTCGTCGTGTAAATACTAAGAAAATAAGCCTTAAAATTATCCTCCAAGCCATCCCAAAATGCCAAATATCCCAGATATGCAATTGTTAATATGATTCGGTCCCAAAGACCAGACAAAAGAAAGAAAAGAGGTGAAGGAAGTGAGGGTCAGGAAGAAGGAGAAAAGGACAGACGACAAGCCTAGTCGGGTCCGAAACGAGCAGCAAAGACGAGCGCCACGAGCGACTAGCACTGCTCGCCGAGGTAGAAATCGGCAAACTGCAGCTGCGCGGTCACACCCGACGTCGTCGCCTGGCACTGGAACGTCGCCTCCGTGCAGTCGGCCGTGTAGGTAAAGTTGACGGTTCGGTAGGCCTGGGACACCTCCGTGTCGCACAACACGCGGTTGTACTTGACCTCGCCGTTCACCGTGCAAGTCAGCGTCACCATGCTCTTGCCGTAGACGCCCAGCGACGACAGGCGGTAGTGGAAGTAGCCCTTGTAGGCGGTGCCCTTAACGACAGCCACCTGTTGGTGGAAGGCAATGCCCTCGGCCTGGCCCAGGGTCACGAGGTCGAGCTCGAGGCACTGGGCGTAGGCCGCGCCCGTCGGGCTCGAGCCGCAGTTGGCGCCGAGCGAGCAGGTGGGGGCGCCGGTGAGCACGTTGGAGGGCCAGTACGAGATGCCGAGGGAGAAGTCGCTGTCGACAAACAGGTTGTCGGTGCTGCAGGACGGCTGGCCGGGGTTGGTGGTGAGGCCACCGCTGGACGAGGGGAGGGCGGCCGAGGAGGAGGACGACGCAGAGGCCGAGTGGGACACGATGGCAGACGACGAGGAAGGAGTGGGCTCGGAGGAAGGAGCGGCCGATGAGGAGGGGATGACGACGGATGGCGCCGACGAAGACGACGAAGGAAGGACCACGGAGGGAAGGTCCGACGACGACGATGCAGGCGTGCTCAAAATGACAGAGGAGGAAGGAGCAGCCGACGAAGGCACGGGCGACGAAGACACACGTGACGAAGGTGCAGCAGATGACGACGACGAGACAGCGACAACAGCCGCAGAAGACGACGACGACACGGACTTGGGGCGGCAGGGGCTGGCGAAGACGGGACCAGCCAACAGGAGAGTCGACAGAGCGAGCGAGTACTTCATGGTGAGGGTGACAGCGGTATGAAGTGGAGAGAGTGGGATATAATATATTAAACAAAATGAGAACGAAATGGACAAACTCGAAAGACTGGCGAACGTATGTTATCTATAGCGACAGATGCGGTTTCTTTCTTTCGAAGAATGATTGTGATGCCGATGGTGCGAGAGAATGAATCTTGCAAAGCTTGCAAGCGAACGAGTGAGACTGAAAATAAAGAGCAATGGAAAATTTCTAAAAAAAAGAACGAGTGTAGGTCTCGATTGGGACAACAAGGAAAGAACGAATGTAGATCTAGAGTGGTCTGCGTGTGCTGATGCTCTTCTCTCTTCTCTTTACTTTCACGACGGGGATATCGCAATATATATTCCGTACTCTGTTAAACGACGACGTCGACCAGAAACCAAAAGGAACTAAGCAGCTCCCAAAACGGCTTTCGCCTGGGCACGTTCTAGAAACCCAAAAATAAACATTTGGAGGATGCAGCTGAAATACTGTGTAAGAGGCCGACACTATCGAAGGAGGCGAACGACGTGAAACGAAACAAGCAAATTTACGACGTAGAAAGGCTCGAGCGACAGCAAAAGTTACTACAGATGGAGCAAACGCCAGCAAAAGCGACCTGTGCCCTCTCGTGTTAGTGGAAATATGGGGCGCTGTTCTCTCCTCATCGCCCCTTCAATTTCATCTTGGGAGCTTGGGAGGATCCCTCCTCCATTTCACCGCGACGTGGGCCACCTTGTTTTTGTGCAAAGTCGACGTTGTCTCCGATAGTCTTCTTCTCGTCCTGTCGTTTGTGGGCTGGGCGTTTTGCGCCCGTCGTCTATCGGCCTATCGTCTGTCGACGGGCGCCTGTGAGCCAATCGTTCCTGACGCGCGCGCTGACGTTCTTCTGTCGCGCGTCTACGGAGCAAATGCAGAGTATGACGTACTGGGACCAGCAGGCTTCTAGATCGACGACTTACACGCTCCTCCCTAAAGTGTGGTTCTGGTCGGTCGTCGGTACGCGCCGGTAAGAATGGAGCCTAGCGCCTACTGATGGGCTTTTAGGTGTAATGGGCGACACGACAGGGATAAGAAGTAATCTTGCCGCTATTTTTGGAAGGTTTTTTGATATTTTGTTTGGAGAAAGCTGTTCTTGGCAGGGGACATTCTTTGCTTCCGGGAGCTTGCTTTGCCAAAGAACTGTGAACGAACGACAGCAAGACCCACTGGGGCATGGCCTCAGAACAGGCCATGCAATTTGGTACACGGCCAGCTGGTGGCTTTTTTGCCTTTTTGGTACGGCTGCATGCCCTCCCAACCTGGCGTGGTCTCTTCTGTGGGCAAGATTGCCTTGTTACAGATTTGTTGACTTTCCCTTTCCGGGGCGCACTCTTGGACGACTCCATCACGAAAGCTCAGGCACCTGCCACTGTGGACGGAGCACCAGACTGCTTCTGGCCTCATACGGTGTTGATTGTCGGACGAATCGTACACATAGCTCGCGCGCGTCTGTTCTCGGCGAAGCTAAGAGTGGCGAGCTACTGAGAAGAAGACGAAATAAAAGCGAAAAAAGCGAAAAAAGCGAAAAAGAGCGAAAAGGGGCGAAAGAGGCGCAGAGGAGCTCCGCCGATGGCGTTGGCAAGGAAAGATGGAAAGATGCGACCGACATCACGCAGAGAACCGATATTGGAGAAAGGTAGCTCTTTGGCAAGTAGAGACGTATGTAACATGACTTCAATATAAGTTTTGAAAAAAAAAATAGCCATACTCCGAACAAAAACCAGATGTCCCAACCGGGTATAATGCGTCTATGCGTCTAAAGCTTTATGAAAACAAGTAATATGAAAACAATAAATAAATCAACTCTTGTAAAATCGACGTAAATGCAATCGCTATGTACGAAACACCGCAGATCGTCGTGTCGTTCGCCTTAGGTGCCACCATGGCCGTTGTCGTCGTGAGGAGCGGACCTTATGTGCAGCTTTTGCAAAAGGCGGCCTGTGGTCGATGTTGCTGTCTTTTCATCCTCTGCTTGCTCGGGCTTCTTCTCTTGGTCATGCTCACGACCCCCGTCATGGTCATGGCCATGGTCGTGATTGTGTGCGTGTGGGTGCAACTTCCGCAGCAGCTTCTTGCCCCGCTGGCGCGTCCGCATGTATGCCTCCAGGCCGACCAGGACGACATAGGCCTTGGACACGGCCACGTGTCGCATGTCCGCGCCCTCCTCGCGCAGCGCGGACATAAACGACCGGAAGTTGGACACGGGCGGCCGGTAGTGCCCAGACAGGGGAGAAAGCGCCACCAACCGGCCATTGCGGATCTTGATGAGGCCGGCCGCCGAGATGCGCGCGCCCCGCAGGAACGACGAGTGCTGGAAGGTGCCCGAGTCCTTGAGGCCCACGTACAGCCGGAAACTCGTGTCGGCCACAAAGATCCACGTGTTTTTCTGGACCGACTTGCGCAGCAGCGCGTCAACCACAGTCGCTGGCGAGAAGTGGTGGCTCTTCTTAGCCACGGCACTGCCGCCGCTCTTGCCGCTCCCACTGCTGGACGGCCGCGCGCCCACGGCCTCGTCGTTGTCCGGAATGTTGTACTTGGCGGCGCGGGCTGCTTCTAGTTCGCTTTCTGAGACGCTCGAGTCAGAGTCAGAGTCCGAGTCGTAGTCGGGCTCCGAGCCGGAGTCGAAATGGCGGTGGCGAGGGTGCAGGTCGCCGTGTTCGTCGTGCCCGTGTTGCCCATGCGCATCGCCCAGTACGGGCTTAAACGCTGGCGTAGGGTCGTCGACCGGCACAATGCCGTGGATGCTGTCCTTCCACTTGGCTGTCGTATCGATCCGCGCTCCGTTCTTGGCCCAACAGAGACGGCCCTCCGTGTCAATCTTGACCTGGTAGTACTGCCGCTCCTCGCGCGACAGGTAGCGCACCTGCTCGCGGTCGAGGCGTGCGCGTGGGCAGGCCGTTGTGTCCACCAGCCGCCCCTCGCCGTAATCGAGCCAGTAGAAAAAGTTCTCGTTGGTGTCGGACCGCTTCCACTCCTCGTGGTACACCCGCAGGTTGGCGCCGTAGCGGTGCTTGGGGTCGATCATCTCGAGGAAATACTGAAGGCCCATCATGAGGGCGTCTTTGCGGCGCCGAACACGAGCCGCCCCGGGCCGCTGCCGCCCATTCTCGCGGCCCTCCGCGTCCGAGTCGCACGCAGAGTCATAGTCGGAATCATCGTCGTCATCGTCGTCATCGTCGCCATCGCCCGCCTCATCGTCCGAGTCCACATCGCCGCTTGCATACTTGAGGATGCCCGTAGCCTTCTTCCAGTTGCGCATAGCGCGTGTCGAGCTCGCCTCTGTGCCGTCAAACGGCTGCTGTACGGGTGCGGAGGCCTGCTCTGCCGAGAGGCCTAGCTCGGCCCGCGCCCGTGGCCGTGTCAGCTCGCGGTACCGCGCCTCACGAATGGCATGCACCCAGCGTGTGTTGGCATTGATGTTAAACCCCTTCATCTCGCGCCGGGCGCGGTAGCCACGGTAGTGCCGCTGGATCACAACGGCCGCCCGAGACTGCGCCACGAAGACATCCAGGCCCCGGAAGAAGCCGACGTGGTCCTGTTTGCCATCCTGTTTGGCGTTGTTGCCCTTCTTCTCCTTGTCCTTCTTTCCTTTCTCCTCCTTCTTGGCGTGGGAAGAGGTCGGCCGGTTGCTGCTGACAGGCGAAATCGCTGCTGCCGCCGCCGCACGGTCACAGGCCACGAGACTCTGCTGCTGGCTCAGACGCTGCTCGCGTGACCGCCGACGGTGCTCCGTCTCGCGGTGCTTTTGGATCTCGGCAATGCGCTCGAGCTCGCCCTTGGACGGCACAACGAGACTGTCGAGGTACTCCTGGTGCGTTGCTTGGGACTGGAGTGACGCCCGGTCGTTGCTGTCAACGGACGTCTGGGATGCAGTGGGCCGGTGGCAGGCGGAGACTGAGGTGGAGGTGGAGGTGAAGGACGTGGTGGTGGTGGTGGTGCAAGTGGACGTGGATGTCGTTATCGTGGACATGCTGGTTGGGGGGATGTCCAATGACATGGCTTGCTGGGCAGGAGCGGTGGGGGATGCACCTGCTGCCGGGTTGCTCATGGTTGCATGTGTGCTTTGGAAGGTGCAGATGTGGAAGGCGCGGTTAAGGAAGGAGCGATTGAGACAAGTGAAGCGTGAAAAATACCAAGAAAATAAAGTGAAAAAAAAATAGATGAGCGAAAAAGCAGCAAGACGCTGCCACCACCAACAATAGTTAAAGCAACAGCAAGCTCGCTAATGAAGTCGGGCAACGCCAAGTTTCGGGTCTCGAGGCGGCCTCGGCGATTTTGGTCAAGTTCTGAGGAATCAGAGACTGGCCAGGATTGGACAAGAGTTGGAGATGGTGTGGCGATTGGAGCTGGATGTCGTACGCTGTCTGGCTGTATGCTGTACGTTAACTGTTCGAGTTCTTGGCTGCCTCTTGCCTCTTGATTGTGTCAGTTGGCTATTTGCCTCTGCCGGACGCGTCGCCATTTATACATCTTGGGGCCAATGACGCCCGGCTCCGGCTAGTCACTCTTTGTCCCGGCGCAAAAGCCAATGGCTTTCTCTACTGCTGCCAGAAAGGATCGACCGATGGTCAGTATGCACTTTCTTGGCAATGCTGCCCAGCTACCGTCAGTCTCTTCTTTTAGAGTCTGGCAGGGACATCTGGCGAGGCTGGGACACTTTCTCGTGGCTTTTGCATGTGTGCTTATGTGGCTGCACAGAATGCGCATGTCTTGGCACAGATCACCGGGGTTTTCCGTACATTCAGTGAATCGGACACCGAAGAATACCGGTGCCTGGTGTTCTGCTGCGGCTGGTCGGGTTGGACGTCTGGACAGTGAGCTTTGGCGCGCTGCTGGTGCTATATTTAATCCAGTTATGGGGCATGGACGTTGCTGGCTGTGGCGGAGGACCAGGCAGCACAATTTCCTCTACCTCTCGAATGACTAAGCATAACAGGACACATATACAGTGCAAAACAAAGTTTAGAGTATTCATACGGCGAACAAGTCTCTATTTTTGCTGATAAGCACAGTGCGCAATCTTTTCAACATGGAAATACAGTATTTCGTACATATTCAATTAAACAATGAAGTATTTCGGACAGATACACGCGCCGATAGACTTGAGCAATTGCATTCTACACGTTCGACACATGGGAATGCTCGTGTGAGGCGTTTACTGCTGCACTTCATTTCCACACGTCGTTTTTACTTCAATGTGGTTTGGCGGTGACTGGCTGATTTAGGACAAAATGCACGCTTTTGCATCCCCTCCTTGCCCCTATTTCTTAACTGCTCCCAGTGTTGCATAGGCGGGACAGCTTGGTAGAAACAGGGCACGGCCGGAATGTTAGCGTATGCTGACCGCCTGCAAATGGCGAGATGGGCACCTAGAAACCAGAAAAAAAGGGAATTTGAGGTGGGGGTGTTCATCAGAAATTGCATGGTTTGATTGAGGGAAAGAGCGTAGGACTGTCCCCTGTGCTAGGAAAAGACACCACACACCGGGAGAGGAACGCAAAAAAGCAGACAGAGTCACAGAAACAGCGAGCAAAAAAAATTGACCATCAGAAACACCACAACGCGAAATCCATATCCATCGACAGCACGCCCTCAGTCACTTGCTCTCGACGCGCTCCTTTCCCTCCCTCCCCCTCTCCGACGGCCACGATGCCCGATTCGCCATGCTCGAAACATTGACGATTTTGCCAATGGCTCCGGGCACGCGGTCGCGGCGAACCGACGTGCTGCACCGTGCGACACCAGTGCTGTTGCCCAAGCCAAACCAGCGGCAGACTACGCTGGACCAGCACCTGCACAGCGTCGGTGTCCGCCCCAGAAGCGCTGGAACGCGTCCCCCACCAGCGCTACAGCAGCCACTACAGCAATCACAACAAAGGGCGCCACGGCAGCAACAGCAAAAACAGCAGCAAAGACGACAACAGCCACAGTCTCAATTGCAAGCATCGCAGCTACAACAGCAGCAGCTCTCGTTTGCCATTGCGGCACCGACGCGCAGCATCCAGAACATTCTGAATCATGCAAACTCGATGGGCTCGATGAGCGCGGCGCGCCCGAAACGCAAGATCGCCGCCGACGACGACGAGAGCACTGCGAAGCTCGCCACGAATGGCCACGTTGGTGGCAGTGGCAGGAGAAGCGACCAGTTCGATAGCCGGGTCGATGCCGGAACCGATGCCGACGACAGCGACAACGCCCTGGACTCAGCTCTGCGGAAGCGGCCGCGGCTGGCTGTCGAGATTGTCGACGTTGCGAAATCTCCAGGCCTGCAGAGCCCCCCTGGGGCGTTGGCGCCGGCGCCCCCGCCTAATAAGGCAGGCGCGGCGATCAAAACAAACACAAACACCGCTGGCAGCAACAGCCTCGCTGCAGCCGTGCCAATCGCACCTTTTCCCAACACCGCCAGCACCACCACACCCACGACCAGCAGCGCTCCGCACTCCGCCTCGACACCCGCCACGGCCTCCACTCATACGCCAACGCGGCGCCCCATCGCTGCACGACAGCATCCCGCCATACCCGCGACCCACAGGGCACCTGTCCTCGACCGTGCGACGCGTGATAACGCAACGACCTCGACATCCACAACCAGTTCTTCTCTGCACAAACACGCTGTCCCACCGGCCGCCCCGTCGCCCATCCCTCTCCCCTCGGACGCGGCTCGTTCACACCGCCTGAACTCTGGACGGTCGGTGCCCAAACCCGCTTCCCAGCTGGCGACGAAACCGCCAAAGGAGAAGGCCGTCAATGGCTTCAAACAAGAGCTAAAAGCTCTGCAAGTCTCGACTGCCGAGGCTGAGGCTGTGGCTGCCACGCGCGGGCCCCGCGAGGGTGGCCGCAAGCTGCGCTCGCAAGAGGCCACACGATTCAAGAGTGACTTGGCGGCGTACTTCCCCGACTATGACGAGGTCATTGGGAACGAGCCAAAGGAAGAGCGTATGTGCCATCTTTCAGTTCCTTTTTTTTTTGTCACTTTTGTCTTTTTGTGCTTGTCTGCTCTCTTCGAATGTATCAACTAACATGTCGTTTGCTTAGACATCCTAAACATCGACACGCCCATCATCTTTGTCGAGTCCACTCCGGCCCACCCTGCGACAAACCTCCCCACATCAACAATCTCGACACCGCTGGCCGCGTCGCTTAGGAGCAGCGACCGCGCGGGATCTGTACGTGTCAAAGGCTATGGTGACAAGTTGTTCTACGACGTGTTCGACTCGCACGTTCTCGACTTCACCTTCCTCGGCAACCAGCATAAGAGCAAGGGTACCGTTGACCCGCTCCCCGACTCGTACTTTGAAGCCCACCATAAGCGCGCCGAGCGTCTGGAGCGGTCCATCCGCAACACGGAAAAAGGACGCGCCCAGCATGAAAAGGACCAGATCATGCGTCTCCTTGAGGGCCTTCAGGGACCCGATTGGCTGCGCACCATGGGCGTCAGCGGCATCACGGAAAGCAAGAAGAAGACCTTTGAGCCTGCTCGTGAGCACTTTATCCGCGGCAGCCGTGCCATCCTCGAAAAGTTCCGCCTGTGGAGTGTCGAAGAGAAGCGTCGGAAGCTCGAGAAGGATCGCGCCCACGCGCTAGAAGTGAAGGCACGCGAGGCGGCCGCGGACGCCGCCGCTGCGCACACGCATGGCAGAGGCAAGGCAAAAGCCGACAACACTGCGTCAAAGTCGTCTCGGGGGCGTCGAGACCTTGGCGGCAAGGCCCTAGGCAAGCGGGCGACTCGAAAGAGCCTCGATGACAGTGACGTTGCCGGGCAGCCGGATGACGAGGTGCACGATGACGAGGAGGCTGCTGAGGACGCCGGGGATGATGAAGCCGCCGAGGAAGACGAAGTGGACGACGACAGCCAACCAGACTCCAGCGACTTTGACGCGGTCATTGCGCAACAGCTTCGCGAAGAGGCCTTGGCCCGCTCCCGGCTGGCATCCAAGGCAGCCGCCTCAGCCAACAAGCGCCGGAAGCCGAACCGTGCTGCCAAGCAGGACGCGCCTCCGTCCCCCACGTCACCTCTTGCGCGCCCGCCGTCGCCGTCGCAGCCTCCGGACGAAGTGACGTCGTTCTTTCGGAAGCGATACCAGCGGGATGCTGCGCTTAGTCGCGGGCGCCGGAAGGGCCGTACGGTTATGGCCTGGGGACAACCGGTACCTGAGCCGGCCGAGACCGATTTTAGCCTGCCCGGCGAGATTCTGAACCAGACCGGCGTGGCTGGACGCGGGAGACGGGGCGGCGCACGCACTGGTGCACGGGGACGGGGTGGTGCGCGAGGCGGCGTGCGTGGCGTTGGCCGCAAGTGACGTTTTGATATCCCTACATCAGTGTTTGTTCGCTGAGTGTTGCTATTTCCTGTGTTTTATTTGTCTTGCGTCTTGGGTGGCCATTTTCTTCTTTTTTCCCCTTCGTTTTGTGCCCTCGGTGTCCCTTGCAGCAGCACCTGTTTGTATGATGAAACGTGGGTGGTCGGTTCCCTTGAGATTTGGCGAGTTGTTGTGGACGTTGCCTCTCGTCTGTACTGTAAGTATCTGTATAATTAGGCGTCTTGGAATGGGAATTGGCGGCACATCGCCTGCTTCTTGGGTCTGCTACTGAATGCTTCCTTCTGGTGCTCTTGGGATGTTCTCGTTGTACAGTGTCTGGCGTAATGTGGTGAAAACTGTAACATAGCGAGGTCTTGTTGGCGACAGAATGCGAGTTGAGAAGCTTAAGCGTGCAATGCTGTCCGCACGGGCCAACCAGGCTGGGTCGTGCCTTCCCAACTTGCTGAACTGCCCAAAACCGCTAGTACGATGGCTTCGCGTTTAGTCTCGTCACGTGCAACTCTATTGCACCTTCCGCTCGCAACGCGATAATAATAAAAACGCTATGCGCGCCCCACTTTTGGCGACGATTGGAGTTCGCTCCTACCACCACCGACGTTTGAATCGCTTGCTCGTGATCCTCCCAAATCGATGACCATTATCCCCAGACCCCTTTACAATCCCTCGCGCCTCTCTCTTATCTCTCACAACACCCGCGACTCCCGCCTTACCTTGGCGACGTTGTGAGGGCGCGCCGTGCCACGCGCGTCAGCCAGTTGTCGAAAGTGTTCACCACGCGGCCCTGCACGCGCACACGGCGTTGACATCGTTGGAACGGCTCACAGCAAGGCAACAGCTCGAGCCTCATCTCTAGAAGGCTCTTTCAGCCAGCGGCTTCCCCCGTTGAGCTTCGACGCCGCTCATTTCTACGCTCTCCTGCTGCCTTCGCCGACCGGTTCCTCTACCGCCTGCTGCCTTCCATGTCATGACATCGTGCATCACAGGTCGCCCTCGACGACCAGCCTTCTGTCTGGAGCCGCTGAAGTTGTATCTGCTTTAGCATTTCCTACCATATCCTTCTTTACCGACCCGGCCAACCCCCTCTCTTGCCCGCGCAGCTCGGCTCCTCACAACGATGCCGGGCATCCTCCAGACCGACGGTGCCAACGGCGTTGCGCCCGGCTCCGACCCATTACTCGATCCCGCGTCCGACGACAAACTGCCACCCGTCGAGGAATTTGTCGTCGTTAACCAGGAGGTCTCCATTGACATCAACTTCCGTGAACAGAGCATCCAGGGCGAGAGCCGCATCACAATATACCTTACAAATCCCGACGACGCGCCAGACGAAGTCGCCCTCGATGCCCGCCAGTGCGAAATCGATACCACCCAGATCCGCGTGAACGGCAAGGCCGTCCGCGCCACCTACCGAGACCCCTACGAGTCCCTCGACCTCCCGCCATCATGGGACCTCACGCCGTCCAACTTCCCCGTCCTCAAGAACCGAATGCGGAACCTTCTGCCAAAGCGACGGCGCGATCTGCCAGTCGAAAAGCGCGAGCAGGTCGGCTGTAATCCGGCAGACCGGTCCCTGCGCGTGGCTCTGCGTCCAGACCCCCCCAAACCTCCAGCCAACGCTGCCTCGGGGGCTGCAGCGGATGCCAGCTCGGCTCAGCAACCAGGCAAGCTCAAGGTTCGCCTGTCGACCGCTGGACTTGCGGACACATCGGCCAACGGACGCGGTGACACCAAACCTGACTCTGACCAACCGACCGACGGCCTGTTTGAGATTGTGATTCCGTTCAAAACGACACACATTCGCGATGGCCTGCACTTTGTTGGCGTGGAAGACAACGACACGCGGTTCCCCCACGTCTACACTCGTCATTCCCTCGAGCCAGGCATGGCCGCCTGCATATTTCCCTGCCTCGACGACCCCGGCTCGCGTTGTTTCTGGAAGATTCATATCAAGACGCCACGAACCCTCGGCGATGCCCTGATGCAGCAGCTCGCATCAAATCAGTCCATGAATGACGCGGCGGCGGCGGCGGCGGCTGACGCTGCTGCTAGCAACGACCGGTCCATTACCGTGCACGGCAGCCAAGGGAAGCAACACGCAGCGTCACCAAATGGACAAGGTGCAAAGAGCGGCCACAGGCAGCTCCAGCTCACGGAAGAAGACAAGCTTCTCGACATGACGGTGGTCTGCTCGGGCAACCTTGTCGGCGAGAGGGTTGACGAGGCCGACGAGTCCAAAAAGGTCATGACCTTTGAGATCACGGACCACGGCGCGGCGGCCAACCAAATTGGCTTTGCGGTCGGCCCCTTTGAGCACGTGGATCTCTACACGGGGTTTCGTACCGACGAGGACGACGAGAAGCTGGGCGCAAGCGCCCTGAAGATTCACGGCTACTGTCTGCCTGGACGGCAGGTCGAGGTCCAGAACACGTGCGTGTCACTCACGACCGCGGCCGACGAGTTTGCCATGACGTACGGTCGGTACCCGTACGACAGCTTCAAGCTCTGTTTTGTCGATGACATGGTGTCCGACACGACACCGCTGCTGTCCTTCTCCCTCTGCAGCACGCGTCTCCTCTTCCCGGACAGCATCGTGGAACGGGATTTTGATGTGACGAGGAAGCTGGTGCATGCGCTGGCGTACCAGTACTTTGGCTCGTACATTGTCCCGAACCAGCGCACCGAGCTGTGGCTCACGGTCGGCATCGCCTACTACATGACCGACCTGTTTCTGTGCAAGCTGTGCGGCAACAACGACTACCGGTTCCGGATGAAGACCATGACCGACCGACTGGCCGAGGAAGACCGCGACCGGCCGTCCCTGCATGATCTCGGCACCTACACGTACTTGGGCGATTTTGAGATGGAATTCATGGCCCTCAAGGCGCCCCTTGTCCTTTTTATTCTCGACAAGCGGCTGACAAAGGCCGCGGGCTCGGCGAGCGCGAGCCTGGCACGCGTCATCTCAAAGATCATCAGCAAGGCGAACACGTCTGGCTGGGGTGACAATAACAACGAAATCATCTCGTCCGAGTCGTTCCGCCGCGTCTGCGAAAAGACGAGCCAGTACCAGCTGGAGGCCTTTTGGAACCAGTGGGTGCTGGGCTCTGGGTGCCCGTGGCTGACGATCAAGCAGCGGTTCAACCGCAAGCGGCTCTGTGTGGAGATTGGCATCCACCAGACCCAGGAGACCGTGGCGGCCAAGCCGCGGCCGATGCACCACGCCGAGTTTTGGCGGGAGCTGGTCGAGAAGCGACACGGCACGTACGCACGCAGGGTGCAGCGGCTGTTCACGGGGCCGATGACGATCCGCATCCACGAGGCCAACGGCACGCCGTACGAGCACATTGTGGAGATTCGCGACGACGCGGCCTTTACGGGCGGGGCGAAGTTTGACATTCCGTACAATACCAAATACAAACGGCTTAAGAGGAACCGGCGGAACCGAGAAAAAGCCGCCGCCCTGGCGGCCAGCACCATGGACAACAGCGGCGCCAACGCCGAGAACAACGACGAGCAAATTGTCTTCTCGCTGGGCGACAAGCTGGACACGCCGGACGAGATGGCTGCCTGGGGTCTGATTGACTGGACGGAGCAAGACGAGAAGAGCATGGACCAGGAGTCGTACGAGTGGATCCGCATCGACTCGGACTTTGAGTGGCTCTCCAAGATCCACACCAACATGCCTGCGTGGATGTACCTGTCGCAGCTGCAGCAGGACCGCGACATTGTGGCGCAGCAGGACACGCTCTTGTACTTGTCCCGAATTCGAGAGCATGCCATGTCGGCGACGATCCTGACGCGCACGCTCTACGACGACCGCTACTTCCATGGCCTGCGGACCATGGCGGCCGAGAACCTCACGCGCCAGGTCTGGAAGCTGTCGGACACGGCTGGCGGCGGCGGCGGCAGCGGCAGCAGCAATGACAACGACCGCGCGAACGGCCAGGGCGGCGGTGGCGGCGAATCGATTGTGTACCGCGGCCTGGAGCAGCTGATGCATGTGTTCCGCCACTTCCACTGCTACGACGACGCGACGGCCAAGCCCAACGACTTTTCCGACATGCGGCGGTACTGGGTGCAGTGTGCCGTCATCGATGCCATCTCCAAGGTGCGCTTTGAGGACAAGCGGCCGCGCGAGGCGCAGCGGTTCCTGCTGGACATTCTGCGCTTCAACAACAACGCGCAGAACCTCTTCTCGGACCATTTGTACGTGGCCCGCGTCATTGTCGCCCTGGCGACGAGCTTCTGTTCGACGTCGTCGGCCGCGACACAGACGGGCGCGAACAGCAAGAACAGCAAGAACAGCAGTGCGGCCGCCAAACCCAAGGACCGCAGCAAGATGGACATGGTGTTGACGTTTGACGACGGCATGAGCGACGACGATGGTGGAGGTGGCGGCAACGGCAACGGCAACAGCGACGACGACGACGCGTCGGACGATTTCAACCACCTTGGCGCCGACATCGACCGCATGGAGGTGGACACGGAGGATCAGCAGCTGCTGGAGGCAGCGCTTGCCGAGATTGAGCGGTACCGACGCATGGACGAGTGGACGAGCTCCTACCAGAACGCGTGGACGACGGCGGCGCTCGAGGCCAAGCGGAAGCTCATGAAGACGGGTGTGATCCCCGTGGACGCGCTCGAGTTTGTGCGCTACCTGCAGGACGGCACGATCGACGCGGTGCAGCTCAAGGCGTGCGAGGCGCTGATCGACCTGGGCCTGATGCTGCGGCCGGCCATTCTGAGGCTGCTGCTGTCGACGATGACGACGCACGCGTCGCCGTTTATGCGCGACCGGCTGTTTAAGCTGTTCTGCAAGGGCCTGGCCTCGATTGCGTTTGGCGAGCACACGGGCTCATCCTCACCACCGGGTGGCGCCGGAGCGGACGACAAGAAGAAGCAGGACCAGGCGGCCCTTGCCAACGGCACCACGAACGGGGCCAATGGCGACACACAGGCTGGCGATGCGGCACGCGTGAAAGCCGAGGACGAGGACGGACAGGAGGAGGAGGAGGAGGACGACGACGACGACGACACGGGCGGCCTGATTATCGAGCAGGGCGACGCGATCACCAAGAAGCACCAAGAGGAGCACGCGCGGCGCGAGAACATTGACGCGGCGGTGGCGGCACTGCGCGAAGCCGTCAAAGGCAACCAGGAGCTGCTAGCCGCCATGTGGGATGCTGTGCTTTCACCGGTGACGGGCTGCACGGAGAAGCGAAACCTGATGGACCTGCTGGACGTCATGTTTGACGGCGACCTGTCGCTTCTTCTTACGGTGACGCACCCGACCATGTGGACGGCGGCACGTAGGGCGACGCCTGGCGGTGTCATTGATTTCAAGAAGATTGCACGACCCCTCAAGCAAGCGGCTCCGCCGCCGCCCGCATCGACCGCCGCTGCTGCCATGCAGCCTGTCCTTGGTACCGACCCGGTCGTGGCCACGGCGGCGGCGCCGGCCATCACCTTGCCGCCACTGAACACGCCTGGCGCAGCAACGACCGCACCTGCCAGTGCGACGGCGGGCGGTCCAGCAAGCACTGCTGCGACGCCCGGGCAGCGTACTGCGCTGCCTGGCGCACCGTCCAAGAGGCCGACGATGCCCAAGATCAAGCTCCAGACAAGCCGCGTCTCGATCGGCGGCGCAGGCTCACCGGCCACGTCACCGGCTGTTGGCACGCCGATTGTCATCAAGAAGCCGTCTGTGGCTACACCCGCGCCAGCCGTGACGCCTGCTGCGCCCGTGTCGACGTCTGTCCTGCCTTCCCTGACGCAGCGCGAGAGCACGGCGGACTCGATCTCGGTCCAGCCTGCCCAGAGAAAGAGCTCCGTTGCAGCGACACCGGCTGCCACGTCAGCTGCCGCGGCCAAGGCCAAGTCGCCCACACCGGCCAACGACTACTTTGGCAACTTTACGTCGCGGCTGGGCAAGTCACCGCAGCCGGCGCCATCACCAGCTGTTTCGGCGGCATCCGCGCCGGTCAACAACAAGCGCAAGCGGCAGGACAGCCAAGCCGGGATTGATGGTACCGGTGCCGGTGCCGGTGCTGGTGCTGGGTCTGGATCGGGATCGGGATCGGGAGCGCCGCGGCCCCGCAAGCTGCTGAAGATTGCTGTGCCCCTTAGCTATCAGCAGAAGCTCAGCCCACGGGCCAGTCTTTGGCTCGAGACGAACCGGACGGCGTCGCCTGGTTCGGCAGCTGACGGCGACTCGATCCGGGCGGCCGGCACGCCATTTGGCTTGACATCGCCTAGGAAAGCCTCGACGCCGCACTCGACCGCGTCCAAAACGTCGGTCCCTCGCAGCTCGGCGACGCCGGGCCCCGTGTCGGGTTCTGGCTCGAGTTCGGCGTCGGCGCAAAAGCCGCTGCCCTCGTCCAAGCCACAGCCTCGGGGACCGACGCCGACGTCAACATCGACAACGACACCGCCACCGCCACCTGCCTCGGTCTTCAAGTCTGGACCGTCGGTGAAGCGCGAGTCGGCGACGCCGGATGCCGTCGTCAAGCCGGCACGCAAGCCTCTGCCCAAGGGGGCAGCAACAGCACCAGCACCAGCACCAGCCGTCCAGGCACCACCGGCACCACCGGCACCACCGGCACCACCGGCAGCTCCTCCGGCGGCAACAACGGCACAAGCAGCACCAACCACGCCGGCCACGCCGGCCACGCCAGCGACACCGGCATCGAAGCCCATCTTTATCAAATTCAAGAGCAAGGCTTCGAATGTGTGAATGCGGTCGTCACACTCTTCTCTCCTTCCAGTCTCCTGTATCCTTTATTCTCTGTCCCTACACACCCAACATGAATACTTGCTTTGGTTCCCTTGCTTCCCTTCTTTGTACCAAAAGAAAAAACGGGCACAAAATACGCGTTTCCTTCCTCGTACGCGTATCTCTTGTCCCTTGTCCTTATTTATTATTTATGTCACCATTTACTATGGGGTCCAACCATTATTTGCCCTTTTCACAGGGCCGGAGGTGTTTTGTTTCCAGTGTTGTTCTCTCTCTTTTTTTGTTTTCTGAAAATGCATGAGCTACTGGAGCTACTGGCTGCGTTGTTCTTGTTTGTCTTCCTTTTGTGTATAGAGGCCAGCATCTTGCCATACACTTTTTGCCTTTTTGCTTGGGTCCTTTCTAGCTTTTTAGCTTCTAGCTTTTAGTACTTTATTCTTTCTCCTTCACCATGTTAATTCAACAGGAATGAGCAGTGTGCACCTTCTTGGCCTTTGCCGTGCGTTCGTAGCATTGTTCCTATCCTGCCAACTAAATACTATTGAGGAGTCGTAAGCGTGTCGACGGTATAGTAAAATTTGCTCTCGATATCCTTCGGGTATGCTTTCACATTGAACTTGACCTAGCCAACACCATCTGCCTCTATCCTCTGGTATCTTTTCTGATGTTCTCTGATCGTTTCTGATTTTTCCAACATGGCCAGATATGCAAACAAAATAACCAAATACCAAAATGTAAACGAGCGTGCGTCGAATGTCCCACCCCATATGACGACGTCTCCTGTTTAAATGCCCGGAAGTACCCAAGAAACCCAAACTGTCCAAAATGACGAATACCATTACCCAGTATGCCATACACACACACTCTCTCTCTATCGCCGCACTCGGTTAGCCGCTCCACCGCCGACGCCGATACGCTCGTCCCGGCTCCGTGTCGAGCGCCCCTCGGAGGGCGTCGTGTTGGCCGCCGCTTGCTGCTGCTGCTGCGTCCGCCGGGACGCGCCGCCGCGTTCGCCTGCATGCGGGTGGCGCGTGACGGGCGGCGGGCCCATGGGCGCCGACGAGCCGGGGTGGTAGGTCGGGTGGCTCTGGTGGACGAGGTGCTGGGTGGCGGTGGTGGTTGCGTTGGGGTTGGTGGCCTGCTGTCGTGGGTGGCTCGGGTTGACTGGGGGCGTCGTCATGTGGGCCGCGGCCGACGGCCCGTGCTGCTGCTGGGGTGTCCGTACCGGCGGTCCGGCTGCTGCTCCTGTCCGTCGTGCGGCGGAGCCAGTCGCGGCCCCTGGGGCCCCTCGCCGGGATGATGCTGCCGTCGATGCTGTGTCGGGCGCTCCAGATGCACCCCGCGGCTGAGCTCGTGCTCGCGACGGTGCTGGCGGGGGTTGTTGGTCCTCAATGTCCATCTGGCCGCCGTCGTCCGAATCGTCCACCAGCAGCTCGTTGGCCATGGCATTGAGTGCGTCATCGTCGTCGTCGTCGTCGTCGTCGTCGTCGTCGTTGTCTCCAGCCACCACGCCTTCTGCCCCATCTTCGTCGCCCTCCGCCTCCTCCGCCGCTGCCTCCTCCTCCCCCTCACTTTCCTCCTCCGCTTCGTTGAAACCGCCCGGGAACGGGCCCTGCTCGTGGTGCCGCTGGCCTTCTTGTTGCGTCCATCGCCAGGCGGCTCGGCTGGCCGCCGCAGACGACATGGCCGCCGCCGACATGTGGTGGCGCTGCCGCTGATAGTGGTAGGCCTCGGACGACATGGGCGGCGGCGACGGCGACGAGGAGAACGGCGGCAGGTTCATGCTTGCCATGCCGCCCATGCCGCCGATGTTGTTGGCTGGAACGCCATGCGCGTCCTCGTAAAGGCTGCCGGCTACCCCTTGCGGCTCGCCATTGTAGCGGGCACCCTGTCGTTGCTGCTGCTGCAGGTTCTGCTGCTGCTGCTGCTGGAGAATTTGGATCTGCTGCTGCTGCCGCCGCTGCCGGTCTTGCTGCTGCAGCTCTTGTTGCCTTTTGATCCGATCTTCGTACGCTGCCACATCCTCTGCCGTGACGGCCAGCACGGTCGGCGGGCGGCGGAGCATCGTGTCTTTGTCAGGCGGATAGAATTAGATATTAAGAACAACGGCAACAATATCGAGTGAATTGCAGCGCATTGGATAAGACGGCTGGTTGTATGTTGGCATGGCGATGTGGAGCGAAGCCACTGCTAAGCCAAAACGTCACTACGCGGTGCGCAGTTCTGGGGTCGCGTAAGTAAACAGTAATGGTGGGGTAGGTACCGACTAACTAAGTTGTATGTCGAAAAGAGTATGCTCTGGACCCCCCCAAAAAAAGCTTACATAATACCACTGCGCGCTTCACTACATTCCTGCACAATCGTGTAGAATACGAAATACATCGTAGAGCTTCATGCCTTCTTTCTAGTCTTCGCAGTGTACAAATAATCCCATTGCGACATTATAAACTCTGCACCTTGATCGAGGTATCTCGCATCATGTGCAGTAGATATATTAGACACGGTACCGATCTGCATGCATCTGGCCACAAGAAAATGCTCACAGAATGCTCGTCCAATTCCTTTGTGCAAACGACGAGAACGATTTTTTATAAAAGTAAAACATGAAATTGGAGAGAAGAAACAACAGAGAAGAGAGAAGAGAAGCGTGGTATGAAATGCGAAGTGGACAAAACCAACATGGCCAATGGCAATGAGAGAAAACGCCAGCCTTGGTTCTGAAGTTCCGATGATGGTAAAAAAATGACAAGGTAGGGAAAACCTGCCGAAAGAAAAAGAGGGCAACTCGTCCCTGGGTAGTAGAGAGCAGTAACGTATAAATTAGAAATGGAGGTGAAAGACTCGAAAACATGGTACCATTCTAACGGCCAACAAATGGTGCGACAACGCCTCATGAAAATGGGTTCGGCAGAAAACGACACGAGGAAGTGGTATGGAGAAAACGCAAATGCACACATCGCATAATAAAAAACGGAGTATCATATGAAGAGAGTCATGTCATTAGACTAGGCCGAAAATGGCGAGAATATGCGTACACATGCAAATATATATTCATCTCGCCTTGGCTGTGGGCGTGTTTCGTAGTAGCGCAACGCTCACCACTGCCGGCGGCGCGACTCATCAATGCTTTGCCGGTTGGGGTCGCGGCCCAGCTCCGACAGGTCAAAGACCAGAGGCTCGTCTTCTGTTTCGCCGTAACCGCCGCCGCTGCCGCGCAGGCCGGACGACGACGTCTCGCCCTGCTGCTGTTGCTGCTGGGTTTGCTGTGTCGTTTGCTGCGTAGGGGTGGTGGACGCCTGCTGGTGGCGGCTCATGTACCGGCGCCGAGGCGAGGAACCAAGACTGCTGCCACCAGCAACTGTGGCCGAGCGGAGTACCGCCGCAGAGGACGCGTTGTCACTGGCACGGTGGGCGTGGTCGTCGTCGCCGTCATGGCCGCCCCCACCGCCGCGCACGCCAGTCGAGCGCGACAGGGCACTGCCGCTGGCCGGACGCAGAAGACCCGCCGCAGCCGCCTTGAGGCCGGCAGGGCTACTGGCAACACCAACGGCGGCAGCACTTTCACGGGCGACTGCGCCAGCGACATCATCCGTGGATGCGTGATGGTGACCAGGGCCTTCCTGGTCGAGGCGGAAGAGCGCGCCAGGCGAGGGCGGCTCGCGGTTGCCCGCACCGCCGACGCTGAGACTGCGCTGTGCAAAGGCCGCCAGTTCGGCCGCATTGTCGTCGACGTGGTGAACGGCGCGCGTCTTTTGGACCGCCGAGCTCGAGCGGCGGCCACCGAGCTGAAGAAGGCGTGGGGACAGCGGGATGTCGATCGCTGTCGTGCCGCCCACACTGTCCAGCTTCTCAATGTTGTTGCTGTCCGCATCGCGGCCTGCATGGCCCTCCCCGCCCTCGGCGTCGTTGCCGGCGATTGGGCGGGGGCCACCAGGTCGCACGCGAACCTGCCCTTGGTAGTCGACAATGGCATTTTCGCTCAGCCGTGACGGCACGGCAGGTGTGTGCGGCGCATGTGGCATGTTTGGCGACAATGGCTTGATGGGCGAGTGTGATGACGGCGACAACGACGTAGACGTGTGGCCAACCGCCGCAGCACCTGCAGTAGCGCCGGTGGCGCTCGAGGCGCCCGAGGCGCCCGAGGTACCTGTTCCCGTTGGATGGCGGCCTGACGAGCTCAGCGAACGCGGCATCTGCAAGGACGAGTTCATAGAATCCGTCAATGCCACGTTGGACTCGCGCATCAGCTGGAAGCGGGACAGCTGTGCTGCGGTGCGACGCGCCGAGTCGACGCGCTTGCTGCTGGATTCGAAGCTCTGGAGCGTCTTTTTGCTTTCGAGTGCCTTGAGGAACTCGGAGATGTTGTCGTCGTCGGTCTGAAAGGATCCGGAGCTGGCAACGCCGCCGACCTCGGCCAGCAGCCCGGAGCCGGGTTGGGCCATGGACGACGCCAGGCTCTGCCTGCCGCTGCTGCCCTGGTCATCTTCGTTGCGGCTCGCGCCGCCGAATGACGACCTGCCGCGCCGGTGCGTAAAGCTACTGCTGAAGCGGCTGCCACCCGCGAGACGGGGTGATGAGCTCTGGCCTGGATCCATCACGGCAGCAGTCATGGCGGCCGATGGGCTGCCCACGGAGGTCGAAACCTGCGGGGCAGCACGGAGCGATGCGGCCATGCCAGCGGTGAGCGAGCTGCGGTTTCTAGCCTGGGCCAGCGCGCTCAGCCCAGACATGGGCCGCGAGCCAGAGAGAGGCGACGAGGGGACCGGAATTTCATCCTGAGTCGTACGCGGTGATCCTGAGAGCGACCCAGCCTTGAAGGGCTGGAATGAGATGGATGTCCTGCGTCCTGCGTCCAGGTTCCGGAGCATGGGTGGTTTGGTGGAAACGGACGATGTGGGCGACAGACCAGCTGCGCGCCCGGCGGCAATTGGGAGAGAATTTGGAGGGTCGATATGTGGTCGCTGCTCCAGGCTCGAAGGACGGTACGACCCCGTTGGCGAGCTCGTTTCAGAATCAGCTGTGCGAGCCGCCTTGAGAGCGGTAATGGGGCTTGTGCCGAGCGCGTCGGCACCGTGAAACGTGGACAGGCTGCCGTACGTTTGCTGCAGTAGAGGCCGAACCGACGGTTCGGCGGCATTGCGGCCACTGCGCTGGTGGGACGGAAGCGAGCCAACAACTTCGGCCGACGATTCCCGCCGCCTGTGTTGCTGGCCAGAGGTCTGTTGCGTCTCCCGCTGCTGAGGCAGGTAGATGTTGTCTGGACGCTGGGACGGTGGCAGCGAGGGGCGGAAGTAGTTCTCGTCAATGCCCATGAAGCGTGAGCTCAGGAGCGACTCAGAATCGTCGATGCGGAAGCTGCAGTCGTTGCGGTAGGTGACGGAAGCAGAGAAACGCCCTACAGGAATCTCGAGATCGCCAAACATGTAGTCCGTAACTACATCTCGGCCGTTGTCAAAGTTCAGAGGCTGGCGGAGATTGTCGAAGCGACGCGAGGCGATGCGCGCCTCGGCCTCGGCACCCGTGAGGATGCGGCAGCGCACCTTGAGCGCCGGATGCACACCCTTGGTGGACGCCTGGCGGGAGAAGCGATAAGCGGGTAGAACGTGTGTAGTAACAAAGAGCGAGCGGAAGAAGACGATGCTGCGCTTGTAGATGGTGGGCAGAATGGGACCAAAGTCCTCCATCTCGTACTCGGCACCGCTGGTGCTGGTGCTGCCGCTCGTATCGCCGCCGGCGCGGCCCTTTCCGGTTGCGGATTCGTGGGCACTGCTGCTCCCGCTGCCGCCAGAGCCACCACTACTCGTCTTTATTAAGCCGGGGATGCACTGCAGCTCAATCTTCCAGCGCTCGAGGATGATTTCGGTGGATCGGGAACGGGTTGTGTTGCTATCGGACCGGCCGCTGCTGCTGCTGCCGCTGCCGCTGCCGCTACCACTGGCCGACATGTCGGAGGAGTTGAGCGCTTCGAGCGCTTCCCAACGCTTGCCGTTGTCGTCGATAACAACAAGTGCTTGGCCGGCGGCCAGTCGAGACGCGTCCAGGTAGGTCTCGATTATCATAGGCGGTGGCCGGTGGTCGAATCCGCCGCAGTGTTTCCATGTTTTGAGCTCGTCTTTGAAGTCGTCAATGTCCTCGGTTTCGATTTGAAACTAGAGCGACCAGTCAGTACAATGCCGACGCAAAATCTCTGGCTAACAGTCTTGGCCGGCGTATAAACGTACCCATTTATTTGTCTTGCGTCCACGACCACCGCCCGAAGGCGTGGTCGGGATGCGGGCCTGAAGGATAAGCACGGCAGCTTTAAGATGAAAGTTCTGTAGCGACGACAACGGTTAGTAGGAGAGGGCATGGAGTGGGAAACGAAGGAAAGAAGCCAAGAAGCCAGACTCTGCGCACCTGTATTATTTGGTCCAGCTTTTTAATAGATTCTTTGGTTGGTCCTCCCGATGCCAGAGCTGTTGTTGGCGCAGCACCGCCATCACTGCCACCGCCGCCGCCGCCGACGCCGCCGCCGCCATCGAAAGATGGACTCGGCGGCGCAACTTCAGAGGTAGCGCGCGGCCGGCTGGCGAGTGTGTCTCTCGGGTTGTTTGTGCGTGTGGGGTTGGTCTGGGCTGCAGTCGCGGGTGAGTAGCCGCCTCGCGGCGGCCGCGACTGTTGATGCATTGTGCGGTTGAGTGAGGGTGTGTGTGTGTGTGTGTGTCGGAGAAGAGAGATACTGGTGTTGTCGACGATGGGCAGCGGTCGATGTCGATGTCAATGTCGAATCGTCTGGAGGCCTGCTCTATTCAGAGGCGTCGACGCAAGCCAAGCGGCTCTAATCTGATGGCGCTGGGGTTGGGGGTTGGGGAAGAGAAGTGGATGGGCACGGAGGTGAATTGGGAAGGGGAAGATGCGAGGTCGATGCCGCGAGCTACATTTATCTGGATTGCCGTCTTGACGGGAATAAGAAAGAGATGCGTGCGCCGAAGGCCGAGGTTAGGACGACGATGCAAGGCGTGAGGGTGCGAGGTGTCAGGGCGAAAGGTGTGACCTGAGTCGTGAGCGTTGTTCGTCGACTGTCGA